TAAATTTCTAATTCATGAAACTCACCCAGAACTGGTAATTGCTATTTAAGTTGTGATGTGTTACTTCATTCACCGTATTATCCGACATAGCCCCTTCAGATTTTCACTTGTTTCGGTCTACACAAAAATATTTGAACGGACATTACTTTCATACCGAAGAAACCATCAAACGACACTTAGAGCTGTATTTTATAAATAAAGACAGGAATTTTTATGAACGCAAAATCCAAAAAAATACCCGAAAGATGGCAAAAGATATCAATTAGATCAACAACCAGTGGCATAGGATTAAAGTTTGAATTTTTTTTAAATTGTATTTTAAATCGCATTTTGATGCCGCACGGACATTTTAGCAAACTCAAGAAATAAAAATGACTGTACGTATTTTTATCAAAGCAATTTGATTGCTATGTTTTGTTGTCCATATTATAATAATTCAATAATAAAATTAAAAAATAGATCGGAATGGACAAAGTATATTTACTGAAACTCCAATGAGGTTCATGGGATGTAATGTGTAACTGTCGCTGCTTTTCAATAAATTGGTTAGCTCTATTATTGTAATCAACCATTTTTTGTTTTCAACAGACGCGGTCGCTGCACCCGCTACAGATCCGTAGGCTCTACACGAGGAGCTTCGCAATTGTGCGCCAGATCAGCACTACCCCTGGCCATCTCTCTTCGACCTTCAGGAATGCCACCTACGGAACATGCGGTGCCTGAGACGACAGAGACTGTCCTCATGGAAGCTCCCTTAGATTATAATGTACGATATTAGAAACATTATTTGCTAGTGCCAAATTACGCTGTAATTGTTCTACAATTGGAAAAGATGAAATTATTTATTTCTGAGTTTCGATTAGATTCAAAATACATCTTGTTATCTTAATTTTAATCTTCGGTAACGTTGACTACGTAAACTACGGAAATTTATTGTATGTTGTACAACCTTTGCAATTGTTATAAACATTATTAAACATGTGGCAAGATTATCGCATTAAGGCCCGACGCCCACTGGCGGGACTGCATGGCAAGGGATCTTTCGGCATTCCTACATGCTAGCGCACACTGACGGTACTTATGCCGCAGTATCCTTTTGGCATGCTAAAGCCTAGAATTGTATATTTAATAGTTATGACAGTCTGTGGAGTTATATTTATTTGCCAAGTTTTATTGAAAACGGTTAACGGAAAGTGGGTGAAATCCAGTAAACCGAATTCATCCCCCAGTTTGTCACACTTAGGGGTGGAATATTTTCTATAAATTTAAATAGGACCACTACTGAGATACCCTTTTTCCAATAAAAAAGAATCATCGAAATTTTTTCACAATTGTCGGGGTAAACGCGTAACATACACACAACAAAACATCGAATTGAGAATTTTATCCTTTTTTGAAGTCGGTTAAAAGTTTTAGTTTTGCTGAAGAAGAAGAAGAGAACCATATTTCACGGAGAAGATTTTGGATGAATAACCTTCGGAAACTTGCCAAAGCATCCCAAAGGCCACCGGCTCGGTATTTCGGTAGCTTCGTTTTTGTAGCGAAGACCACTATAATTGACCATTCGTCATCAAAAAATTCCCTGCCGAGCTGTCCCGTCAGTGGGCGCTGGGCCTAAAAAAGACATTACTCGTGTTTCACAACACCTTTTACGCTCATATTACATGAACATAAAGCTGTTTATGACCAGATCAAGCCGATTTCGCTTTAATAAATGTGGTGACTTCTGTAAGCAAAAAGGAATGTTATACATACATTCGAAATAATGACTGAAGCTATCTAATTTATTACTATATACATATGTAGGTATATTCTTTTATATTCTATCTATAAAGATAAAAAAATAAATAAAGATAAAACAGTTTTATGTTGCCAATCCAAAGAGTCAATTATAAATATTCCTTAGTATTTTAAATTAAAGTAACACATTTGTTTCATTTGTTACGATGTAATATTGATTGTAATGATTACTATGATGTTTCAGTACCATGATATTAATTTGTTTTTGTGAAATTACTCCACTAGTTTGTTGTAATTGCTAGTTGGTTGAACATGTCTTAAATTGGCAAAATACATACGGGATCGAGTTTAGTCAGGTGTAAGGAATTTTTCTTTATACGTTTTATGACGCCAATGACGGGAACAACAAGTCGTGCACCTGGTAAACAAGATAAACAAGGTAAACAAGACGCCTAAATATTTAAATCGCAAAGATTTAAAGTACACTGCAAACTGCGCCTGAACTTCACCAGCACGCTTATCCTTCAAAACCGGAACACAATAACACACACATTACTGCTTGGTGGCAGAAATAGGTAAGCAATGCAGTACTTCCCTGGACGAACTCTTTCACAAGGAGCTCTAATGCTACCCACTTAACTATTCCCTTGCAGTTTTTTATAAATGAATGATAAAAATTATAATAATCTTGTATTTTAATGCATCTGTTTATTATTCGACTGCAAAAAGGAGGAGTTTCTCAATTCGACAGTTTTTGTTTGTGTATATTACACGATAACTTTATAATTTGTGTAAAATATACATAATTTTGTTAAGGAAGAAGATATCCATAATATTAACCTTAGAACTAAGTCCAAACTCATGGTACCACGATTTCGTATAACTAAGGTAAACGATTCTTTTATGGGGATCTGTATTCGCTTTTACAATAAGATTCCGGAGAATATATTAAGATTATCATTTCCTAAGTTTAAAACTTACATTAAAAGTCATATTACAAAATTGAAGAGTATTTTTTAGATAAAGAAATATGGAAAGACAACAAGAGTCTAGATTCCACACAATTATGATTCAAAGTGTAGATGTTCCATAGTATTTAAGTTTATTTGAAAAGAGCAATCCCTAGAGTTTCTTGCTCGTTCATCTCAGGGAGGTCAGCATAGTGAACGAGCAGTAGCTTAAAAAATGACGTTCTCAAGTGTAAATTTATTTTACCTATGGAATAAATGATTGTTTGATTTTGACTTTGAACCGATTTTGATGATTCTTTTTTGTTGGAAAGAGGATATCTTAGTAGTACTGATCTCATTGAAATTGGAACAAAATATTCCACCTACAAAGGTGGCAAACTAGCTAGATATACTAGAAAATCTAGAGACTAGATCCGGTTTCGAGCACTTTGCGGTAACCGATTTCAATAAAACTTGGTAAATAGATGCCAAGAAACTTTGAGGTCGGTTTTTTTAGTATTCTGTACTGAGATTATCTCTGTAAGCTTGACGAATTTGAAATTGTAGATACATTGACAGGTTCAAGTGTGTTGATTTTTAATTGTATAAATTAAACGGTCTTCCTACAAATTAAGATACTATGTTACTTAAAAAAATTGATTTTTATGATGTTTTATTATGTTTGGACGGTTCGAAACTCAGATGACGCAAGCAAGGTCAAGGTCAGTTAAAGGTCTTTGAATGCAGTATTACTTATAACAAATAAATAAAATAATCTTTCCATATAGCAAAATTTTTTGTCCACAATTTTTAAAGTACAATTCCTCCATGTCCCATAGTACCACGCCCTGTATAGTATACGATCTTCTGATTCAAAGCGCTGGTAGTACAGTGGTTTAAAAGTTGTTTCTCAATGGAAAAGTCGATGGTTCGGCTATGCTCATAACTTTAATTTCTGAATTACATTTATAGTTATTTCAGATCGAACACTAAGAATAATTCCTTCGAATCGGCTGGATTCGAACCAGTGCGTCGAACCAGTTCAGCATACCCTGTCTGACGCTCTCCCTACTGAGCTATGAAACGGATTGAAAGCTAAAGGCGCTGGTTTAAGTCAACAATTTAAGTCGGTATAAGGATTGATTTGTTATTAGAGATATTATGGTCCAAAATCCGCTCCCTGGTGAACACTCGTACTGTGCATGCACGTACATGAGGTGGATAAAGTTAGAGAAATATGAGTAGTGCCGCATACCTATGATGAGAAAAAGTTATTTATTTAGTTTTTACTACACTGAAACCGGCATACGTATTTCTTTCTGTCTTTACCCTTGAAATGCTTAAATCAATTAGGAGCAGTAGATGTCCTTGCGAAATTTCTGCCAACAAGCAGATTACTACTTGTATTTTGTAGGTTAAACTATAGATACTTGTAACTTTGTCTCAGGGTATCGGGCGTAGTGTCAGTGCCCATCGAGTCTTTTAATTAAAGCTCTGGGGGGCATTATGAGTAGGCAAGCCGGTAGCCATCAGATGCACGACTTGGTCGTCACGGCATTAGAAAAAAAAAACGGTAAGGCCATGGTCTAACAAGTACGGTCTGAACACTCAGTAAATCCTGCTACCTTTAAAAATCTACAGAAATTTTCAATTACACAAGAGGTTGCAAGCAAAATAATTCCAGAGAATGGCGCAACAATGAATATCTCAGTAAATCTATATAGGTAGGAAATAGCGGTTATGAGCAGCAATTTCTTCCAGAAACTCGAATGTTGAAATGAGGTACTGAATATTTAATTTATTATATCAGTACTTTGTATATGGTGTTGCAATCAGGGACCAAAAGAGGTAAATGTTATACGGATTTCAGCGCGTGCAAAATAATGTAGAATTTAATACATTCCGATAAAAGGTTTCCGTTGTATTTAATCGTATATTGTGTTAAATAATGCACATACCGAAACGCTTATAATGTTTATCTCTTTCGATCTTTCGGTACATACAGTGTAAAATATTTGTATACAAAATGTTACTTCGTCTTGTGACCGCTTGGGGGCGCTATGCAATTTGCCATACAAAATTCTTAATTCTTATTTTCTTATACGATCGCTAGCAATACAGTTTGCAATAATAATTTGGAATAACAAAGAAAAGCAACATGAACACCATTAAAGAGAAATTAAATTTAGTTTACAAGAATAAAAAAATAAAAAACGCTGTCGTAGTATTGTGCTCTGTAGGTTCAGTACCTATGCAAAACGTTGCTTTTGAGGAATAGATAAATAAAATAATTTATATTTCGAATTATTATACAGCTGTATTCTGAATGTTCTTAATTTTGCTCTGAATAACGGTGAGGTTAGACGACCGTAATTTTGTGAGTTATGAGTCGCCTTTTTTGAGTCGTGTAGTCACGTTCGACTGAAATTCGGTAGCAGCGCCAGCCTAAAGTATTTAACTCAGTTGTTTTTAAGCGTGTGTAGAGGGTGATTGTGGCATATAGTGTAATGGATCCATGAAATGTAATGTGTGCATTAGAAGATAAAGTTAGAAAAATTTTGGCTACTCAATATGAAAATATTAAAGTGTAGGTTCCTTAAACTATATTATGAACATCAAAACGATACCTTTTTTTACCTACTTTATTTTATGGTAATTTTCTGCTATTTATGTAAGCAGCCATATTTATTTACTAATAATATGCTCCCCGAACTATGTGAAAAGTAAATAAAGAAACAATAAACACGAAATTCGAAATAAAAAACAAAACAAAATAAAAACAGAATTGATCCAAAAATTAAGTTGGCCTAGTGTTCATTAGAGGTATCGAAAGATAACCACATGCCAAGAAATATTTCCTTCATTCATCCCTCCACCCGCACAAACACGTCCCAGTTCGGACGAAGTTCTGTCATAATTACGCGCGTGAGTCGGCAAACAACTCATTTCGCGTCGTCGTGTGACACAAAGTGGATTTTTATATGAAACCGAATGCAACGTAAATTACACAACTCACAATATTATGCTCGTCTGGCCTCACCCTGAAACGTTTCTATTGGATAAAATAATCACATGACAACATTGGATCAGTATGCGATTTAACGGCTTTACGTGCCAGACACGCTACAGTGTTTTTTAAACTATCTTCTTGAAGAATTAGGTATTTTTGAGATGGACTCCTATTTCAACGTTCATCGAAATATCGTCTGCTTAAAGGTAAAACCACATGAGCGACATTTTTCACAAAAATCTCCAAATTATATACCAGTTGTAAAAAATTTCCTATCTTTCTGCAGATAAAACTCTTATTACGTTTATAGCTTTTTTGTTATTGAGTTTCACGTGCAGAAAGATAGCGATTTTCTTACCATAGCTATGTAAATTAAAGACTTTTTATGGAAAACGTCACTTATGTGGTTTTACCTTTAAATAGACGATATACATATTTAACAAA